ATCCGCGTGGCAGGAACCACAGATTGTTCCGGAGAAGGTCCTCTGGGGTCTCCACCCGGCATTCACTGGGGCCACCGAAGACGCCTGGGATGGCACCAGGCAGCCGAGAGGGCAGTCTCCGAGATGGCCGGTGGTGACACCGCACGGCCCTGTTAATCCTCCCGGAGTCCCACGGCCCCGCGCCTGCGGCTGCTTGAAGCGAGGCCAGTGGGGCCGCGGCGGGGAAACCCCACCCCTCCCGCTGAGAGCTGCTCCAGATAAGTTGGGGCAGCGTGGAGGCCTGGCAGCGAGGCAGCAGAGTTGAGTTAATTATACCAGCAATTGAGGAAGGAGGCAGCTGCAAAAATGCAAGGCAGACCCTGAATGCGGCCTCCCTTTGAAGAACAAAGGCAGAGAAAATTGGCTCGCCAATGAGAATTAAGTGATAACAATGCGCCGAATAGAAATCAAAACCAATTCTAAGGCGGCTCACTCAGAGAAAGAGAGGATCCTGAAGAGTAAAACTGAACTATGGAGAGACCTTTGAAGAGGGGAAATTTCACTTTAAACGCTTTGTGAGCGGGTTTTAGCGTGTGTAGAGATGAAAGGAACGCACAGCCCGATAGACACCCCTTCTTCCTGGTGCCACGGCCCCCTGGACGCCTCCGCCACACCCCCAGTTCTGGCCCGGAGCCGGCAGGGCGGCCTCCAGCCTGGCCCCTGGGCCCTCTGGGCTGTGATGAGCTGCTTTCTTTAGGCTCCCAAGGCCATGGTTGGGATTTAAGACCTAAACACAAGCTCCTGGGGCTACAATTTCAGGCCCATAGAGGCACCAACTCCAAGGCCTTTTCCCCAAACAACCCCTCCCTCAGCCCCTAGTGACACATGGCGCATCAGCTTATTTCAGGAAGAACTCATTGAGGCTCTTTGCTGGCATTGGGATGGGATTGGCAACCACCGATCAACGTGGCCCAGGTCAAGAGCAACACTGAATTGATGAGCTAAGGGTCTGGATCACACTGGTTTCCAGGAGGAGACAGATGGCACCCTCAAATGGGCTGGTTGAAAGTTTAACAAAGAGGCTACTTATAAAGGTACTGAGAGGTTAGGGAAACCACAGGGACAGACACAGCGCCCCAAGGTTATAACCCCTGGACTTGGTGTAAAGGGGCAGGGGACACAACCCGGAGACGGAAGGAAAATGCACTGGGTTCCCCGCAGCCGGGCACAAAGGTGCTGGGAGAACCAACCACTGGACCCGACTCTCCGCCCTCGGGTCCCCCGTTGGTGTCTCCCACGGACCAAATCCCAGCAAACCCAGCGGCCGAGGGAGCCTGTTGCTGGAGGCTGAGACCACCTCTCTGGGCGGCGGCAGTGGGGACAGAGCGGGCAGAGGGCTCTGCAGAGACAGATGGACAACATCCAGCCCAGGGTCGCTTCCCAGAGGCTGCAGCTCCTTGGTCTGCGTGAGCACACGACTTCCCCGGCCTGTCTCAGAGCCAGGCTCGCAGCTGGGAATGCCTGTTTGAACAGAGCCTTTATCCTCCATTCCAACAGCTGGGCCGGGATTTAAAAAGCTTCGTTTTCAAGACTTGCTGCTTTTGATTTGTCTAACCTGGAACTTACATTTTTGGGGTGAAATCAAGTTATTTAATCATTTAAACAAAGCATTTCAGTGACAAGCACAACATGTTTGATTTTTTTTTTTTTCCTCCCAAAACCACGTAATGCTCTTCAACATGGAAGGGCTCTTCCACGGCCAACTCTTAAAACCACAGCCTTTCTCAGTGCCCGCTTCCCTGAGCCTCTGCTCTCCGGCCCGTCTCCCTCCGGGTGTGCTCCTGTGCAGGCCACGGAGGGGCCAGTCCCACTGCCAGGAACCGAGCTCCCCGCCTCCGGCTCCTGCTTCCAGGCTCGGCAGAACCATGTGTCGGCACCCAATCAGTGTTCTCGTTAATTGCACACACACTGTTTTCTTTTCACCCCACCCCTTTTTCCTTTCTTTGATTTAAGCCCTTGTCTGATATCATCTTCTGTTCTCAGCTGAACGTCTCCCTTTATCATAGGCCTCCTGCCTTGACTTGTCTGTTATTTTTAAGTCAGAATGTTGATCAGCATTTGCATTCCTTGGAAATAACATCCATACCGTGCTGTGCTGTCCTAGAGGATGTCCCTCTGGGTCATGGCAAAGCCCAGGCCTCCATGCTGAGGGCACAGGTGTCAGCGTGATTGCCATCAATACCTTGGAGTTGCCATGCGGTCACTGAAAATCAATCCGAAACAGAAGACCTCTTTTTCATGGCCAGGAAAGCAGACGAAGGAAGCAAGGCAATACAGCCCAGACATGGAAGAGGTACAACAGCCGGGAAAAAAGAGCTCAGACACGGCCTGGCCCAGGGGCATTCCACACAAGTAAATAAATATAAATGATCTGAGCATTCCCTTCAGAAAAAGCGAGCTGAGTTTCTATCAAAAGGAGTCTACATAAATAAAAAGATGGCCTAGACAGGGGAGAGCTAAACCAATGCCTCTTTCTGGTAGAAAGACGGCTGGCCTGGCTGGGCCTGGTGCTGGGGTCGGAAAGGGTACAGACACACTAATTTGGTATAAAATGACTTCATCTTTCACCTCGTGCTAGTTTGGACCTCTGCTCAGCTTACTGAGTGGAATCACTCATTTAAGAGAAATGTGGATAGAACTTTGTTTTTCTTTTTTTTGTTGTTGTTGTTGTTTTTAAAATATATTTTATTGATTTTTTACAGAGAGGAAGAGAGAGGGATAGAGTTAGAAACATCGATGAGAGAGAATCATCCATCAGCTGCCTCTTACACACCCCCTACTGGGGATGTGCCCGTGACCAAGGTACATGCCTTTGACCGGAATCGAACCTGGGACCTTTAAGCCCACAGGCTGACGCTCTAACACTGAGCCAAATTGGTTTCGGCATGGATAGAACTTTGGATAGCACTTAATTTAACAACAGGATGCTCCATGATACAAAAGACTGTGTCATTCTATAGAAGTTATAAGAGCATTTTGCAAACAAGGGATGTTCTATTTGCAGGCCCAGTGGAGGGACAGAATCCAAGCTGATGTCTTGGTTGCCTTTTCAGCAACCCTCCTGCCGACAGGGGCACTGGAAGGGAAGGGAAACCACCCACAGAGGCTGCTTCTTGGCAGGAAGCAGCCATGCTCCTCAAAGACCGGCTCCCCAGAGAGGAGGCTACGGGCTCCTGACAGGACTCAGAGCAACAATCAGACAATCAGTAAGGGAGAAAGACCTCGAAGCAGCTATGACAACTTCATTTTTAAATCTAGACCCACGGTCGGCAAACTGCAGCTCGCAAGCCACGTGCAGCTCTTTGGTCCCTTAAGTGTGGCTCTTCCACAAAATGCCACGGCCTGGGCAAGTCTATTTTAAAGAAGTGAGTTAGAAGAAGTTTAAGTTTAAAAAATTTGGCTCTCAAAAGAAATTTCAATCATTGTACTGTTGATATTTGGCTCTGTTGACTAATGAGTTTGCCTACCACTGGCCTAGACCATTCAGACTAGGTAAGTGCAAGCTGTGGATGTCCCCAGGGGAAGCACATCAAGGCACTAGGAAAACAGTTGGCAGCACTACTCAGCCAAGGGCAACAGAGATCAGGGTTATCTTTGGCTCCTTCAGAAACACGACAGCATCTTCCAAATTAATGGCAAGAAGCACGTCTATACCTTTTTACTGAGTGGATTTATATGTAACTAATACATGCTCAGCTGGCCAGATATGGGTCATTCTGGAGGTCTAAATGGCAATCCTACTGGGGAGGAGGGAATGGAAGGAAACTAGGTTACTGCTTTATAAAGATAAAAACCAATGCAAATTGTTTCTTTAGAATTTATTTGGAAGGCCAAGCGAGGCATCTACTCACTCAGTTTGACCTGAAATGGCAAAATTATTTGCCCAGGTAGAAAAAGAAACCCATAATACTCAGAATAATGATGTATTTCCCCCTGTACCCAGCCTCATGGCTTTCTCCAAAGATGTGTACCTCCCCTTGCAGCAGCGAACCAAGCTCAGAATTTGCATAAGGGTTTAGAGAACCTTATGATATTCACTTCTTTAAAAAAAAAAAAAAAAAAAAAAAAAAATATATATATATATATATATATATATATATATATATATATATATATATTGGTTTTTTACAGAGAGGAAGAGAGAGGGACAGAGAGTCAGAAACATCGATGAGAGAGAAACATCGATCAGCTGCCTCCTGCACACCCCCCACTAGGGGTGTGCCCGTAACCAAGGTATATGCCCTTGACCGGAATCGAACTCGGGACCCTTCAGTCCGCAAGCCGATACTCTATCCACTGAGCCAAATTGGTTTTGGCAACATTCACTTCTTAACATAAAAATTAATGTACATGGGTAGTATCTTTTTTTATTTTTATTGATTCAATCAATACATTGGGAATTTAGCAGCAAGTTAATGGCAAGCAGTTACAAAATCTCCTATTTTTCTACATTCAAATTGTCTTATACAATCGATAGTGACCTACGATCACAAGGACACACATGAATGGCCGGAGCACTTCTGCTGTGATGCCTATGCAAAGTTTATTAGTAATTTCCTAACAAATCTCCTAGTGCAAAGTGCACATAAGCGTTAGGGACCCCCTTTACCATGCTTGGCTCTCATTTTCCCTGTAGATACCTGTGCTGAAATCTAAGAATGAGAAGTGAAACTGAGCAAGTACACCCGCAGCCTTGCCCTGAGGGCATCTGCTCCTCTAAACAAACCTGGAAAACACCTCCCATGGATCTCAGCCTCAGCCCCGCCATCAAGCCTGCTGCTGGCTCGCCTTCTCCACCGCCTGCTCGGGGGTAGCTGGCGTCGATTCCAAACTGGTGCGCGCACACTGCAGGGCTCAAGGCTAAACGGTCACAAAGAGCTGCCCTTTCCGCCTCCTCTCCCCTCGTTTTAGCACCAGAAAGAGCAGCTCTGACTTTGTACTGTTCAGCGTCGGAGGGAACCTTAAGGTTTCTTTTTGGTTCTAGGCAGGGCCGTGGTCTTAGAAGTGTATTTGGTTGTTGTTCCTGGGCTTGAAGGCACGGAGGATTTCTCTGATTCTCCCTTGATTCCAGCTTTAAGGGGTCTGTAAGGTGTGGAATTTGAACTGCTCATGTCCAAGTTGTCCACATTTCCCTTCTTACTGGTCGCAGGAAATTTCTTTTTACGAGCAGTGGGCTAGAAATAAAAGGCCTGGATTAATTTTCAGACACAAAGTAACGTTCATCAATTCAAAGAAGTAAGGAACTACAGAACTGTCCAGTATTCAAGCTGAATACTGACCAGACATGACATATAGACTAAACACATTGTGAAATTGCCAGAGAAAGCTCCGTTAGCACCTTCAAGAAAGCGGAATTGTTCAGTGTTTGGTGTAGAGCAAACTTAAGGTACAATTTCCCATCCTCTGCCACGCGAAGTTAAAGCAAGTATCTGGGAACCCTTGCACAGGGAAGTCCGCTTGGAAGGCTGTACTGGGTCATCTTCAGATTTCCAGACAAGCTGCGGCGTTTGTGTGGGTGCCGGACAAGCCCACCGTGACGGCTCTTTCCGACCTGGGTACAGTGCTGCCGCCTAGGGCCTGCTCCTCACATTCTCTCCGTCCTCGGCACTGATTCCAGGAACTGGCCTCCAACCCCAGCCTCACCACCGGGGCAGGGGTGTAGACCTCTTGGAGCCTTGATGCCTCATTTGCACCCTTACTCTATGGGTTTATTATGAGAACGAAAGAGGTGGTGGCTGGGAAAGTACATCGTAGCTTCAAAGCATAAGACAAGTAGAACCCATTTTAACAGGCCATTGAACCTTCTCAGGTCACCTCACCCCTCCGTGGAGGAACAGCCTCTAGTCCTGTCAGGAGGGAAGCAGAGTCCATTCTTACCTTAGACCCGTTTTTAAAGTGGGCACTTCGAATTAAATGGAGCAGAGCACGGAGTTTTAAAGGAGTGGAGCCTGTCTCAGGGGACCCACACAGCAGAATGGGGACGAGACATGGGCTGCAATACAGCAGGCTCTCGTATGCACAGGATGATTGGGGGGGTAAGGGGGAGAGGGCGTAAGTTTAGTTCTCCGGATAAATGAAAGTTAGTGGACACACGAGTTAATAATCAGGCTAGCAATTTTCAAAGCACAGATCACACGTCACACAAAACAAATAAACCTGGTGTTTGATCACTCAGGCTCCTGTGATTCAAGTGGCCATGTCCTGTACACAGTGGGAGCACTTGTCAAGGAGTAAATGGCCTCCCAGGGCCACAGCACAGCTACGGGTCATGTAACAATCATTGGTACCTGTATTTTAGAAACATAAAATTCACCTGGTGTTTGCTTATTGCAGAGAGCCCTCAAATATGTGCTTCAGAGCACTGCTCATGTGTGACTATGCAACAGTGCATGCTAACTCCTGTTCGTGGGGAAATTAATTTGTATAAATTTGGAAATGTAAACAGGTCCTTCTTTTCATAAATGTTTTTCCCCCCAGAAAATCCCTGGGCTGCTTCTCTGTGAAGTGTTTCAAGAAACAGAAAATACTTCGAGTGCATCAGCGTTCAGTCCTACAGGTTGTATCCATCCTGTCACCGAAAGCTTCTCTGCTCGGCAACAGGCTGAGAGGACCGCACGCAGGTGTCTCAGTGTCTGGCTGAAGGTAAGGAGCTTTGTCTAGTGCAGTCCTGGTCCCGAAGACATGAAACCTATCATGGAAGTTCCGATTCATAAAAATTTAATTCACCTGACATACAGATCCTATTAAAAGGTAAATCTAAGTGTGACCCTCTCTTTTCTGACATTTCCACTTCTTGAGTGACCGTCCAAGTCATTGAGGAAATGTTTTCAGCCTGTCCACCACAACCCATAGAGAGCAGGAAGAGAGACCCAGTCCGGTTCTTTTGAATGCATTCAGAGTCCTATTCTTTACGCTTCCATTTGTTAATTAATGTACTTGAGTCATTAAACTAATGCTCTTAACCAGCAACATATGATTACCTGTTTTCTTTCTGGTGTTTAGTGCACGTTAAAACTAATGTCAACCATATTTTAATTGAGCTCCTAAGTCGGCCTAAAACTGGCTGCACAGAAACATATCGCAATATGTGTTCCTTTGCTCCCTGGTTACATCGGTGCAAATCTACTTATCTTTATGCAAATGTAAATACTTACAAACTTCTGTGTATATGGGTGCATCTTGTCAAATATTATATGTGTGCATACTTTGCCATTTCGCTTTGCTAATTTGCAGGGGCATTAAGTTTAGGAAGCAGAATCCTAAGAGCTTTCCTAAAGACTGAGAGTCTCCCCTTCTAACCATTCTGATGCCAACAAAACATTCTGATCCCAACAAAGCATCAGAAACCATTCTGATGCCAACAAAACATGGACCAGACTGGCCCTCACATGGCCCTTCCGGCAGAGCTTAAACTTCCTTCGCCAGGAGCCAGGTCTCTCATCCCCTTGGAACACAAATAGCCAAGGTGAATTCTAGCTCCCAGTCTTTTCTCTGGAAACATGAACAAACCTTAATTTTTCAGGGATACAGATTTTAACTTATAGATTATCTAAATTTTAGGTTTCTCTTTTTCTTTTCTCATATTCAACGGAATTCCTCAGAGATCTATGCTGACACTGATATGATCTAAAAGTTTTATAGAGAAATGAAAAGTGCAACTGCCAAGGCTGTATATCGGAGTTACTAAGATCTTCCAGGTCATGAAAGGCAAACAGAAGGCGATGTGCTCCCATATGATTGTACAAAGGGGGAGAAAAGTGGGGGAGAAACTTCAATATTCAGTTCCAGGGGGAAAAACTCTAAATGATCATTATGAAGCTGTTGGCCATCATTATCAATCCAAGAAAGAGGATCTAAAAATCAGTATAGCCCTAACCAGTTTGGTTCAGTGTCAGCCTGTGGACTGAAGGGTCCCAGGTTTGATTCCGGTCAAGAGCATGTACCTTGGTTGTGGGTACATTCCCAGTAGGGGGTGTGCAAGAGGCAGCTGATAGATGTTTCTCTCTCATCGATGTGTCTAACTCTCTATCCTTTTCCTTTTCTCTCTGTAAAAAAATCAATAAAGCTGGAACCGGTTTGGCTCAATGGATAGAGCGTCGGCATGAGGACTGAAAGGTCCCGGGTTCGATTCTGGTCAAGGGCATGTACCTTGGTTGCAGGCATATCCCCAGTAGGGGGTGTGCAAGAGGCAGCTGATCGATGACTTTCTCTCATCGATGTTTCTAACTCTCTATCTCTCTCCCTTCCTCTCTGTACAAAATCAATAAAAACATATTTTTAAAAAATCAATAAAAATATTTTTAAAAATAAAAATAAAAATCAGTGTAGACCATTCTCCAAAGGTATTGCACAGTGACCAAGAAAACCTGGCTGTCATCAGCAAACATCTTCAAAATCAAAGAAAAAAATAATCCTTCTATCCTTATGTAAAATTGTGAAGAATTCATACCTGAAACATTTCAACCAGCTTGAACAGAGTAAAGAGCAAGAATGTTTACAGACAGGCTACTAATATGATTAACGGTGGAGGATTCTTTAAAAGAGTCCTTCAGTCTAAAAATATAAAGAATTGGAGCATCTATATAATCACAATCTATAAACTGGAGAAGGGGCGGATTTCAGCACCGGAGCTGGACAGCATCTCTGAGGCTGCAGGAGGAGGTGACATGGGGCTGCCCTAAGTGGCATTTCTATTGTTCCTCACCTTGACAGTCTTACCGTTCGGACTGCAAGAACAGTCAGTCCTACAGGAGGCAGAATGAGAGAAAAGATAACCTTACAAGGTTCCCTTCAGTTCCATCTTTTAGTAATTCAGCATCCTGGGCCTGACTTCTCCAGCTCACATTATTCATCGTGAAAAGGGGGCGGCATGTGTCAAGGGGAGATATGTAACAAGAAAACTGGGCAAAGTATACATAGTTCATTATTCACTGGCATAACTTTAACCTGATGATAAGCTCCTCTGATGATAATGGATGGGAAACGTGTAAGCTCCAGGCACATCCCTGAAAGCTAATACCAGTGCATGATTACCAGATTACCAGAAACTGTTACCATTTCTCTGAATTTTGAGTAAAATATATGCTATTTAAATAAAGTGCTTTATCACCATAGCAACCATTCCTAGAGTCACACATTCAAATTATAGGCCTACACAAGGTCTAAGTGACGGAACATTCTGATACAAGTGTTCAGCTACACCTCTGCTTGCAATGGTCACCCACTTTCTCTCACACTCCTACGGTTTTCAGAAGGAAGAAGGAAGGGGGGGGGGGGACAAAGGCAGAAGGAAAGAAGATAAATTGACTTCCAAATATATAGATTTCTAGTATAAGGCTTCCCACATAAAGAGCTGGGTCTTATATGTAGTTAATGAAAAAAAAAATCTAACTTGCAAATTAGAGAGATGTAAACATCTCTCTTTTCTTATTAAAATATAATTTACACATATAATGTACAAATTTCAAGTGTACAGTTTTATGAGTTTCAACAATGTAGAACCAGCATGCCAATCAAGAAGTAGAAAAACTTCCCAGAAAGTTTCCGATGTCACATTCTAGTCAACTTCCTTCCCATCCTAGGCTACAGTGTTCTGATATTTCTCAACATAAATTACTTTGTCTTTTCTAAAACCTCATATAAGTGAAACAGCATACAGTATGTACTCTTTTGCATCTGACTTCTTTATCTTCAGATTTTTAATTAAAATTTTTATTAAGATGATTATAAATTCCCATGGTATTATATCATGCTTTTGAGATTCATCCACGAATTAGGATTTTTATTGACAATATCTTATTATATGGATATATCACAATTTGTTTATCTATTCTTCTACTAATGGATATTTGGGCTATTTCCAATCTGGGGCTGTTTATATATAAAGCTGCTATAAACATATTCTAAAAATCCCTTTCAAACTTACATTTGGGATTGCTGGGTTAATGGTGAGTAAATGCTCAACTTTATAAATAACTGCCCAACTGTATTCCAAAGGAACTGCACCATTTTGCATTCCTACCAGCAAGACAGAAAAGTTTCAGTTGCTCCAATATTAGCTAAAATTTGGAGTTTCCAGTCTTTTTAAATTTGACAATTTAAATTTAAATTCTATAGAGTGCGGTATTATATTACTGTGGCTTTTCCTGATATCATTTGCATTTTCTTGATGACT